TACACAAATTGCACGTTCGGGTCGAAACAGGACCTTAAAAATAGCTCTCAAAAGTACCCTTTGTACTCCTTTCATGACAGAAACAATAGTCGTTTTTATTTCATCACACCTTAGGCTACATATACCTGAAAAATGACGGAAATGTCTTCGAGCATTCCACAACCTCTTTAACTTAAGTTCAAGTGGTCCCACAAGGAAATGCCAGTAGACTCATTGGGTAATTGCCTACATTTTCCAGACTAGTTTCACGTAGGACAGTGTGTGCCAAATTGACTCCAACCTGTTCCAAATAATACACTTGATATTTATTTCCTTCTGTACTGCCAGAGTGACAAGAAATGTCCGTCAGGGGATTGAGTAGACGCAAGTGTTGAACTGAGAAAAAAAAGGAGAGTTGAAAGGGTAACTACATGTATGGCCTGTTGTGACTATGTTGACCTCAAATGCTGCGTGTGTTCTGTCAAACTTTTTTGTAGCCGCAAACCTCGCCAGTTCTCTGCAACCTAATAAAATTTGTCACCTGCTGAACCCTGGGAACCCCATTTGAGGCTTTAGTTCAAAAGGTCAGGGGAAGGCGTCCCTGAGGCATTGATAAAAAAAAGTCAAATGTCAACCTTTCGATTGGGATAATTATTTTGTTGGAAAGGTACAGTACCTTTTTGTAGTAAAAGGGAAGCTTTGGAGAGTGAAAGAAGATGTTGGATTTAGGAAGATTTTGTTTAGAAGTTGGCTGGGAAAGTAGCTGAATGGGGAACACACTTTTTTGAAACTAGAGATTTCTCAATAAGTGAGAGGTTTGCGGTAACACCATGTGGAAAATATCTCTTTTGTGAGTATGTGTGGTTCTGAAGAGAACCTGTTGGATTAACTTGACTTTTCGAACAGTATGCTCTGTTCGTCATCAGGAAAAGAGATATTTCCACATGGTGTTACCGCAAACCTCTCACTTATTGATCTTTCCACCATGTAAACCTTCAAGTTTCATTTAGAGATTTCTCATACATATTTAGTTAAATTTTGGCCCAATTGCCTACCTGGTTTAAGGCACATTGTATATTTTTTGCATACAATACACCTTTAATACAGAGATACACAAAAATGTACATTTGTGACAATATTTTTTTCTTCGCTATGTTTCCAGATTTTGTTTGCTAAAAATTATACTTAATCAGTCTGCTAATTAAGATTATCTGCTATATTTTATTTTTAATGAATTTGGATAACAGCTTCATAAACTCTGCCCCGAGTTTTGAACCCAGTTCACATTCAGGTAGCCACCCTTGCTATTAAAGATATAGTCCATCATTTGTAATTTGTGCATTTTGTTCGTTTGAAGCAACAAAAGTGTTCAAAATCTAATGAAGGATACTGAACAACTAACCTGATTAAGTTTCAGCTCAGCTTCAGCTGTATATTCCGAGAAAAACAGCATTCTAGGATCTCAATTTCAAATCAAAAGTTGCTGAATCATGTTTTGAATTGCAGCTATACGCGATGTTGCGCACTGATCCGACGAATTATAGCAACCGTGCGCGCCTGTGCGTCGTGCCAATGCTTGCGCACGCTGCGCGCAAATAACAAAACGAACTACTAATTTAAATTTTCCTATGGTGCGTCTTAAGATGCACCCTTGGAAAGGCCTTCTTTCGTTGATTACTTCAACATGATAGCTTGCCAGAAAGATTAATTTCACAGGGAGTTTAGTCTACTTACTATCTTTCAACCAAGTATGTTTTTCAACAATAATACGCCAGTTACTTTTTCGGATGGCTGCAAATGATGGACTATAGCTTTAATATAAGCATGGTATAAGCCAATATAATATGTGGCGTCTGTATCTTCATACACAGTCACTAGACACCCACAGGATAGACTCTATGCAGCCTTTGACTATATAGCCTACCAGTAGTCTTAATTAGATATGCATCAGTAGTTTAGGAAACTTTTTAACTGTGTATTCAATCATTCAATTATCCTTGTATTGTAGAACTACATGTACATGTACAGTGTCACCACTGTTACTGTTGGCCTGTTAAGCAATGTATGTATGTATACCCAAAAAGGGGGCGTGTTGTTGGTTTGACCTTGCCAAGCTGGTACTGTGTGTTACCCAAACTCTGGTTGACTGATAACCTTTTGACAAAGAGAAAGTCATTCCTGAACAAAACCTACCTCTCCCATGAATGGACTTGCCCTAAAAAACTACAAAAGTAACTTGGGTTTTAGGCCGCTCCCAAATAAACAAAGGGGTGAAAGTTACAAGGGTTATCTTGTGAATAGAGTTGAACTGGTTTATAAGGAAACTAGAGTTTTGATCAATTAGAGTCCGTGTTTACAAGTGACAACTGGATGAAAGGGGTGCTGGTTGGAATGGTATGGCCAAGGTTCTTTGACTTGTCACAGGGCTGTGTGGAATTCTGTACATAACTGCCTAGCAGGTGGCAATATGTTACTGTTTGTGTATAGTGATGCAGGGTGGCATATTTTTACAGGCTTATGACTTGTGTGGTACAGAACTATTACATACTGTAGCCTTTTTACTAGCCTTTTGTGTCCATTATGTGAAATGTGGTGATGTACAGTACTTCAGGAATTTGGTATTGCAGGGAGTGCTGAGGTAGGTTTAATTTCTGTTTAAATAGGACATACGTGTGTATGTGTGTACTAAATTTTTGGTACTTTCTACACTAGTACCGGTACTAGTAGTATAGTATGCACACTTTCACTAAATAAGTGGATTTATGTAGGGGCCTAACTTAAAAAACTAACTTTTGAAAGATTCCCATATCTGGCCATCACCAATTTTTCCCTTCAGTAACCTATCAGCCATCAGAAAGTGATAAGTCCTAAGAAGGTCAAATTTAGCTGGGAAAATATTGAATTATTTACTGAGAAAACACTTAGAAATTTTTCAGACCAGTCTCATATGTACTAGAGTTTGTGCACAGGATGACAAGTGATGGCCAGATATGGGAATCTTTCCCTAACTTGTTATTGATTGTAGACTAGAGTTAATAAGAAAGGTATCAGTAGAAGAATTTGATCAACAGATTAAAGGGAAAATACAACATTTGCAAACATCAAAAAATAAAACTACCAAATCATTTTGAAATACCTTGCTGGACTGTTAGTGAATGACAGTGTAAAGCATCCTGTAAAATCATGGCACCTGGTATACTGTCATTTTCAAGAAAAGTGGTATTTTTGTATCAATTTCCAACGCTGATCGGCCGATCAGCGTTCGAAACAACTGGCTTTTTTTTCAAATACTGGCCCCAATTGACCATCGCACTTGTTTGCAATCGATTACAAACCTATGAACGGGTACGAGCCGGCTAGACTGGTTCCCTGACCTTACAATTCCCCAATGTATGTAAACTGCTCTGTTTCTTCTTATATGGAGTCAGGGAACCAGACTACAGGAAAATGATTGTTTTTCTTGGTTTTTATAGCATTTTCGAACCCAAAACCTCAAAAAAGTCAGTATAACTATATTTGCTTATATTTCCAACCCCCCAATTCCATCCATTTCTGAAAATTACAGCAAAAGCAAATGATGTATATTCCCTTTAACTTGTACTTAAAGATAATATACAAGATTTGCAATCATCAAAACCAAAACTACACAATTATTCTGAAATACTTTACTTCATCATATCGCCTGCAGGCGGGATCCCCTTTACTTGACTGTATAAAATGATGGGTCCCAAGCATCCTGTGAAATCATGGCACCTGGTGTGTTGTAATTTTCAAGAAAAGTGGACATTTTTGTATCAATTTCAATTTCAAAACCTGCCTTTTTTTTCTTCAAATACTGCCCCCAATTTTCCAAATTTAGTCAAGTCCACATTTTGTTTGTAATTGGTAACACATCCGTTATTGTACCGACAAAGTCAAACAGGGCATTGTGTAAAGTTTACATACGCAAGCAGAAACGGTGCAAGCCAGCTAGTCTGGTACCCTGAGTCCCTGACCTGACAATTCCTGACGTCTGTAAATTGCTCTGTTTCGTCTGAAGTAGGATCTGGGAACAAGACAACAATAACAGCATTTTTTTGGGGGGAGGGGGGGGGGGGGTTCCAGCATCTATGAACACAAAACTTTAAACAGGTCTGTGTAAAAAATATTTGCTATGAAGCACTATCCCCAAGGAAGATTTTGCAAGATTGAGGTTGCGTATCCTAGCAAAAATGCCTAGGGAGTTGGGGTTAAGCCTTAAGGTTAACCATATAAATAACAAAAAAGAACACCCCCCTCCTCAAAAAAAAAAAAAATAGAAAAATCAAACAACAAACCACAAACGAAAATAAGCAACCCCAATATTAAAAAGTCATATTTCTGCATTTAGCAGTCACATTTAGAAGAATAAATATGTACATGAAAGACTACTAAACATAATGTACCAAAGTTTGACTGATGACTATGCACATGCTTCATTGGTGTTCTGTCAGAGCTCATCAGGGTCATCCGTGGGTTGCTGACTGACCTCAAATATTGGTTCAGTTCAAGGTCTTTATTAGTGAAACTTGCATAAGTTCACATTGTACTTTGCCCTTTGCGTTTCGTGTTTGTACTTCCATTTCCCTGACTGTTGGGAATTTCCTACTAGTCGGAAAGCTATGAAACTAAGCTATTAAATTTTTTTATCAAATGAAAATTTGAGGAAAAACTTTTTATCGTATTGGAAACAGTTCTGTAAAAACAGATGTTTTTACATCTGTAGGTTATGTTGAATTATGATAAATAGGACAATTGCTGTTTACTAGTCCTAATATTTCTTTTATTGTATTCAGTTATCCGCTATGTAAAACTTTTTGTATGACATTATTTAGTACAAGCCAATGTCGATCATCCTATACACAATGGGAAACTGACATGGTTCTTTTCTAATCAGTTGAGTTAGTAGAGTGCTGTTATGGAATTCTGGAGCCCGCAGGTTATGTAAATATTGAAGCTTTTGCAGTAAAAACATTTTTTCCCTCTTTCTTTGTTGTTTACAGGAAAACTCCAAGTAAAGGCTTTGGTCGCCGCCCTAAACACTGATGAGAAAGAAAAACCTCAAGAAGACTCTGTTGACAGAATACCGGACTCAAATTTACAATTAGGTCATCAAAAAGGTTGTTGCAAGATTGCTAGTTTAGTGCTCACCGGTTGTGATCAACATGTGAACCACGATCCGGAGAATCAGCAAAAAGAGCGTTCACTTGATCTAGTAGAGTCACCCGACAGGCAGCTTCAAGGCAATAACTCTAACACGAATACTGTGGAAGTCATAAACCAAGAGACATTTTATGCTAAGAGTAAACAAACTATTCAAGAAGCTGGGACCAACATTTTCAAGGGGGATTTTCTAAGCACGAATGCATCCTCCGAGTTAAAGATTGAATCTTCGGCACACTTGTGTCTGGCTCAACAGAACTTGCCGCCAGACTTGTTTGATGGCGTGTTGGATATAAACACTGTCGCGTCGTTACTTCCCAAGGACAGAACGTCCACCGAGGAATCAGCCATCGAGCACATCCTGGCGCTGGAGTCCGATCAGTCGCGGCATCGCCATCACAGCGTCCCAAACGAAGACTGTAATGGGTTCACATCCGAACAAGACAGCGGGATCTTCGACTTATCTTTAGTCCAGCAAGACGACTTTGAAACTTTCGACAACAGAGAGGCTAGTCGGGAGTGGCCAGTGAGGAACATCACTCCAGAGCAGCGGAGAAAGCACTTGCAGCGGTCCGTGTCCGACTCCTCTAAGTTGTTAGGACACAGGCCAAAAGAAGGCTGTCACTGTCAGAAAGTGAAGAGAAACTTACGCATTCCTTCCTGTTTTATAAACAACCCACCTTTATTTCTAGGGTCGGAGGTATGCGAAAACACGTCAGGTCAAAACATTAAACTTCCTGTGAATCCTCCCGCAACAAACACTGAAACTAAACAAGCTGTTGAGAATATTGCTGAAAGCTGCAGTCAAGTGATCACTGATTCTGAAAGGGGTGAAACGAGGTCAACAAATTTTCTCGAAAGTGGGACACAGAACCTGACTCCACCCAACGCGTCTGAATGCCAGGAACGGTGCAGTTTGGTAACATCATCAGATTCAGAACCAGAGAGCAACAAAAGTCTTGAGGATTATCTTGAGGATATCACCATGGGGAAGAAAACGCAGTCGCTGTCCAAAGGGCGGCAGCCTCACGTTGTGTACTCAAAGGAAGAGTTCAGTGAGGAGTACGCCTCCCCTAAGAGGAGCAAATCCTGGGACAAGAAGAAACACGGGAAGAAAGGCAGCGAGAAGAAGGACAAACAGAAACCCAAGGACCGGAAGAGAGTCCTGTCAGATCCTTCCCAAGGGATGGACTTGAAAGTTGTCATCTCCCCGCCCCTGACAGTTTCCCAGGAGGAGAGCCTGAGGAACAAAAGGCACACTATTGGTGGATTCCTGATGACAATGCCTACCCAAGAAGCTGGTACTGATACCTCTGAGCTCCTGGCTGACTCTGAGATGCTGACAGCTCATCAAGAGTCGCGCCAATTTGCTGCCACTCCCAACGTGTCAAATAACAACCAGGAGCAGCACAAATCAAAAAAGAGACTTGCCCAATCCCGTGCTGGAGGAATATCTCCTGAAGTCATTCCAACAGCTAGTAGACACCCCCTACGAAAGCAACAGGGTCTAAGCTCTCCGGAGGTTATAGCAGACACCCTGAGCAAGGCATCTTCGTCATCAGATGTGATCTCCGACGGGCCACCTCCGCCGAAGCCCAAGCGCCTCAGTCTGACCAACCAGCTGCAAAAGCAAAATGACAAATCGCTGGATGTTTCCATACACCAGGATGGCTCACAATTGCCGTACCCAAAGAAGGATAACGTCTACGAACGGAAGACGGAAATTGCAGTGGAGCGTCAAGTTCTACTTAAACAAGCCACCAAGAGCAATCCCCTTGACCAACAAAGCCAGTTACACGATTCTGCTGTGAGCTCCCATAAACAAGCAAACAGGTCTGATGCACCAGGTCCTTTCTCAGTCGTCACTCGTTATGGTGATGATGGCGAAGAAGAACTCATTCTTGGTGCCTTACCTCTTCAAGAGAAACAACAAGAAGTCCCACCCGAAAGCAAACCTTCCGTGCCGAATGTTGCCAGAAAACCAGAGAAGCCAATTCCTGCAAAACGTAAAATCCGCCATTATGCTTGCATAGAGCCTGTCGGAAAGCCAGTTCAGGCCATCAAAACTGAGGAACATAAAGAAGAAAGCACACCAAAAAAGTCTCCCACTGAACCTCCAAAAGAGGAGCAATCAAAACCCAACTTGGACCAAATTCCCTCCTCGGATGAAGCCGCACCAGTCTCCAAGAGCTCTACCATCGATCAAGAGGTTAAACCTCCAGTCCAACAAACCCCACCAGTGGTCATCACAGGTCCACCTCCAGATACCTCTCTGAAAGTCCGTGATGTCACTCCCGATTCCCCAAGCACCTCCTTGCCTCCCAAGTCCCCAAGCTCACCAGAAACCCAAGAGGATCCCCCACAAAGCCAGACAAATGAAAACACCCCCCTGAGTGTGGATATCAACCGATCTAGGCTCACATCCTCCTCGGATACTGCTTCCACCGCTTCCATCCCGCCCCAGTCCCCACCGGATTTAGACTACCAGGAGCTCCTGGCTCAAGCGACGCCCTCGGAGCATTCTCTACCCTCTTCGTCTGAACCTTCCATCAACATCGACTTTGCCAAGCTGGACCCGGCCATGGAGCAGAAGATGGTGACTGTCTCAGTGGGGATGATGCCCGAGGTTCAGAAGGCGGAGGTGACGGTCATCAACGAAGACTGCCAAGAGGTGAACAGTACTGATGAGGTTGAGAGACAAGAAGCAGCCGAGGTCCAACAACAGCCAATGAGCCCTGATACCAAGGTAATAATCAATGCATTTCTTTTATAAGCGCACATACATGTATTCACCATTATTGGTGCTCAAGATGCAACATCATTGTTACCCCTGCTCATTAAGCCAATGAAACACGTATAAGACAATTTCAGCTCCCTGGGGAGTATACAGCTTTGTTCAAATTAGCAGCTAAAACCAATCACGGTAACCATAATGCTCCAAAGCACAAAGCCACGATGCTCCAGTTTGTCAGAGTGTCAAATACGTGGTAGATGCAGGCGGGACATTCTCTTAAGATTTGCATGAGGACACAAAACATATTCACCATTGTCACCAACTGGATTCGAACCCCTGACTCTCTTACCACAGGTCACAAAAACTAACTATTAGACTGTGCTTCCCAAACACTGGGCTTTATAAATTACAGTTGTACATGTTTTCATTCATGTAGGAGGAGTCTGCCACTGAATCACCACCTACCTCGGAAGTGGTGACGTCGCAGCCCGACATTCCGTCCATCTCCAGCAAGGAGGAGGACGAGGTGGACAACGAGGAAGACGAAGACAGCGGAGTCTATGACGCCAGCTACCGGCACTCGGATTGGATCTACGTGGGTAACAACCAGGAGCTGCAGATGATGACCAAACAGGTGGAGATGCAGGCCGGGGCAGCCAAGTCTTTGCAGACAGGTAAGACAGTGTCTACCGCTGGGCGAGTAACTCGATTACTCAAGTACTCGCGAGTAGGTTATGCTATTCGTTGTTCTACTTGTGGTTTTTCATCTACTCGAGTACTCATCCAGGTGTGAGTAGAAGCAGGTACTTGCGAGTAGCAATTTAGGGTGTAGGGTTCACGGCTTAATACGTCCCCTGCAAACCCCCCCAAAAAACCCAAAAAAACTCAAGTAAATGACTCAAAATGGCGCACAGTAATGATATCTCAGTGCTTAAGAATGTGGTGTAACTTGCACGCTATTTGCTTGTAGTTACTGACATATATGACATTTTTCTACTTTTATGGGAATTCGGTTAACTACTTGTAAACTAGTAATTTCTTTGCGAAAACTCAAGTAGAAATCCACTACTCGGCCATGCCTAATGGTGTCTGATAAACTTGACTTGCTGGCAGTTATCAATTAAGAATTTCATATATCTGCTCAAGCGAAATCTAAAAATACTTGGTATTCGAAATGGCACGGAGTTGCAGTCTGGTCAGTTAAACGAATGCTTGCTGGCAATTCGGGCGATTCACAACGCAGTGCGCCATCAAGAGTTTGCCATGGAGAGTTTATGTTACCCAATGCATTGTTGGAGATGGTCGACAAATTCGCAGCACAGGACATTTAAAATTGTTTGTTTTTCTGGTCAGTAGTTTCGTAAGCGCATGATTTGAGTATCTGTTTGCCCTTTTCTTTTCTTTTTATCAATATGGTGTTTTTTGTAAAGCAACAGAACGCTATGCCCCAATCTATAATAAATTAGCTCAAGTTGTCATCTGACACTCATTCAAATGTCAGTTGACTGTAAACTAGAAAAATTGACTCTCCGTAGCAAACTCTTGGTGGCGCACTGCATTGTGAATCGCCCCTGAATTCCAGTGTTATGAAAGGAAGTGTAATGTCTTGGACAGAGCCAATTAATTAACCATTTTAAGATTTGATACATTTTTTTGAGGTTTATTCACTGAGCTTTTAAAAGCCCTGTCATGGAATTTACCTTATGGGGAATGTTTCTAACATTTTCCAGTAGCTGAAGTCAACAATTCGCCAATTAATTAACCATTTTAAGATTTGATACATTTTTTTTTAGGTTTATTCACTGAGCTCTTAAAACCTCTGTCACGGAATTGCCCTGATGCAGAACGTTTCTAACATTTTCCAGTTGCGGAAGTGAACAATTCGCAAGCAGCTGACGAAGTGCCGCAGTTCGACCGCGCAGACGAGGCCAGGGAGTCTGTGACAACGACCTCGTCGGAGAACGAGTTTCGCATGCAGCACCAAAGCCTGGCCTACCGTCGCGTCCATCGGAAGACGTCGGCGATAGACTACCAAAGGCTGTCCCTCATTGGTATGGTGGCATCAAATGTTTCGGCAAAAGTTTTTGGGGGGAGGGGGAAGGGAGAAAGAAGACAATGGTTGAGAAAGGGGAGGTGGACCTGATTTGATGCAGGGGGGATGCTTTTTTTCCCTGGGGAGGTGATAGCATGGCCCCTGTTCAAAAGATTTAATAAAACTGACCTTAGAAACTTAGGAATGAGAAAAAGTCAATGAACTCAAAAAGTTATTTCGAAATCTCCCACACCCAAATCTGTGATGACACACGGTTCTTAATACTATAAGTAGTTGGGATTGGCAGAGTTTATCCCTGAACCTGTTCAGGGAAACAAAGTGCGACAGGTGTACAAATCACTGGTAACCTTGCTGGGTTAAACAGTTAACGGGACTACAGGAGAAGTGCATACAACTGCCAATTCTGAGACGAAGAGCTTGTCCCATGGAACATCGTCACCATTTGTTCAGGGAAAAAGTTTGGCTTGACATTTGTTCAGGGAAAAAAGCTTGGCTTGACATTTGTTCAGGGAAAAAGCTTGGCTTGACAGGCTTGGTCAAGGCTACATTTGATCCTGTGGTACATTTGTAGCTTACTCAGATCATCTGAGGCCGCTTAGCTAACCTCTGGATAGTTGTCCTGTTGTATCTTGTCGAGTGGGCTTCTCAAATTACAGCTGTTGTTTGTTATTGGGTTGACTTCGGCTCTAGTCAAAGACATGCGTGGGTGGTTTGGGTTTATCACCGTGTGGTGTATTGTCAATTCAACTTTGTGCTTGCGTGTCCTTGAGCATGACACTTTACAATGATAAATGCTGTGGGAGGTTACCCTTAATCCAGGATTAACAGGAACAGCATGTAAGGCTGTCCAAGTGAAGTTTCCAGGGGTATAAGGCCAAATAAAAAATTGAAAAAATTTTAACATCCTGCCCGCTTCCTTTTTTTGGAGGGTGCCTCTTTTTTTTTTTTTTTTAATCAAAAAAATTACATATTTTAAACAGTGGCATCATTTTAGCCTCTTTGTCTATTGCATCTAGCCCATATAAAGCTGGTATGTCATTTCCTGAGTCCAAGTGGCAGCCATTAAAAAAAAAAGCCATCTTGAAAATAGCCAGGTCGGGCGGCCAATTTGGAGGAGAAAAAAATAGGCCCCCTCCTTTTTTTTGCAAAAAGGCAGGACCTCAACATTTTTGTTTAACTTGGCCTAATATTACTCATTACTTGCCTTTCCTTCCCCCCCCCATACACCTCCTCCAACTTATCCCCCGCCCACTTTTTTCTCCCCGTTACTCATCAGCACGCGAGAGGAAGGTCACAATCAAGAAGGTCAACAACATGTTTGGGTTCCGCATTCAGTACAGCCGGCCGGTGGTTGTCACCGACGTGGATAAAGGTCAGTATTAAAAAATGGCCAAGCGTAGGGAATTTTCACAAAATTGGGAACATTCGTATTCCATACGGAAAGAGTTATTGGGAGAGGGAGTGGATGTGATTCATTCAAATGCAACCGTAAAACATTTATTTGTCTTAAAAAAAAAGGATTGGTGGATTTTTTTGTTTTGGGTATCAGATTAAAGCTGAGAGCTTGTCTTTCAAATATTAAAAAAAACATGAAAATAGCACTTTGGGTTACTGAGAAAATGCCAATTTAATATGTAAAAGTAGGCATTTTTCATCCTGTACACAAATATTTTAAACTGAAACATTTTACTGTAAGCCTTCTGTGAAATTATCCTTTATTTGTGCAGTTTCTTTAATATTTTGACATGATGATGCTGACAAGGTTTAAAATATGGCTGAAAAGGATGAGATACCTGTTCAGGTGGAACATGAAAGGTATTTCCATCAAATTCATTTGTACTCGTCATATTATTTGCTGTGTTGTTTGTAAGGATTAGGACATGCACAAATAAGTACAGTGAAAATCCCTTACTGTGGTAATTTTAATGTATACAGCATGAAAAATGACTACTTTTACATAATTGGCATTTTCTCAGCAACCCAAAGTGCTATTTTCATGATTGTTTCAGTATTTAAAAGACATATACATGTACGTGTATCTCTCAGCTTTACTCTGATATCCAAAACATAAAAACCCACCGATCCCTTTTTTTCAAAGGCAAATGTTTAGGGTTGCGCTTTTTTGGGGTCATCCTGTAGATCCAGTTTATTATAGCAAATTTCGACTGAAATTGTTCTTTTGCAGGTGGTGCAGCGGAGCAGGCAGGCCTGCGTGTAGGTGACATGGTCCTGAGGGTGAATGGCCATGATGTCCGACAGGCACCGCACTCCCAGGTTGTACGTCTGGCAATGAGTGGTAAGCAAAGACTACAAACGGTGCAGTTGAGTCTATCACACGTTCAGTCACAAGTAACAGTCGATGCTCAGTAAAAAGGAAAGCAGTTATCACAGTTTGTTTGAGTAATAACAATAATGCGGTGCTTATTTAGCGCTTTATCCTACAGGTCTCAAAGCGCTTCACAATGAGACCAGTTTTTGCAGCAGCTCGAGATCAGCGCATTCTGGTCTCTACTTTCTTAAGTACCCATCTGTTCTCGTGGGTGGAATGAGTTAATTGTAGTAAAGTGTCTTGCCCAAGAACACAAGCACCATGTAATCTGGTCTCAATCCTCACATACCCATTTATACTCCTGGGTGGAGAGAGGCAATTGTACCCTTGTGTCCTTACCCAAGAACACTTTCAGTTCTGTCCACGGATCACAAAAAACGGTGTGCGTTCTTTCAGCAAAATGAAAACTATTCACACACATCCCTATGGGATTTGTTTTCATTTTGTTGAAAGAACACTACATTTTTGTGGGATCCTTGGGCAGCACCTTGAAAGGGTGTTGTGTTAAAAATTCTGTAACTTGAAAAGTATTTGAGTGATCTAAGTGATTCTTATGCTATAAGAAAGCTTATGAATTGGGCTTTCATATCCTAGATTTTGAAAGTGCTACATGCAAAAGGTCACAAAAACAATGGTCCCGATATTTGGGTATCGTTTTAATTTACTCACCCTGTACTTCCCAATAAGGACAAAGGAATTACTTTTTTTTAATTACAAAAACAAACAAACAAACATTTTTTCTTTGAATAGGCCCAGATCCGCTCGATCTTGTCGTGGGCACCAACGTCTGCAACACTCTCAATCTCTATGCCGAGAAGCCGGTCATGTGTGGATACTTGCACAAACTGGGCGGAGCCGGTATGATCCGCACCTGGAAGAAGAGGTGGTTTGTGCTCAAGTACGACAACTGTCTCTACTACTACAAAACCGAAGATGTAAGTTCTGCTTCTGAAATTGCAAATTGCGACTCATAATTAAAAAAATTTAATGTTCAAAGGACTGCAATATATGTTCATCAGAGATGGTTCCTGTTTATATCCAATATGCAAGATTTGTGAAAAAATGCCCATCCCCGCTAAAAAGGTGTGTGAACTACAGAGTGGTCCACAAAAAGTTTACACTTTTTCAGATGCAAATTTCTCAAAATTGGGGAGACATGTTGAAATTGTTTTCAGATAATCCTACACTACAAGATCTTGGTGGAATATGGTGAAAACGGCGTTGAAAATAAAGCCCAAATTAAGAAATGTGACCATTTACAGAAAAATGGTCAAAAACCAATTTGTCCACACGCGAGTCTACAAAAACAAAGAACTATCGCATAAGCACCTTCTGAGGGGGCTCGAAGCTGCCTACACCGCAAAGTGGATTAGGCAAAGCCTCATCTCTAAAAAGTACTTCGTGCAACTTTTGATTAATTCTGTTGAGTTGGGTCACATATTACAATATATTGCACAATTTCTTTCTTACACTACTTCTAAATAGAATGAATCTCTCGCAGTTTAGTCAGTACTTCCAGCTTGTGTCTGTATGTCTTATCTCAGGACGTAGAACCTCTGGGTGCCATTGTTCTGTGCAACTACACCGTCATGAAGGCACGGGACGTCGGCAAATCCTACGCCTTCAAGCTGACAAAATGCAAAGCAAGGACCTATTACTTCTACACAGCTACAGAAGAAGAAATGAGCAGGTAAGATTTATAGTATGACTTTTGTGGTGCGGGAAAGTTTGGTTATCAGTATCTAGGAAAAGCCTTGGTTTATGTGTCTGAGTATTAGGTTCTGTGGGCTTTAATCCCTAACCCACCTAAGAATCCACCTTGCGGTTTTGGAGGGTTTCGGAGTACTGAAGATGAATGGTGTTATGAAGAGGTCAGCAGAGACACCAATAGCTGTGACCATGCAATGATGAGTAATAGGCAGGGCAGTTTCGGGCGGGCGCTTTAGTGACTTAAGGGTTGAACCATAATAAAGACTTTTGTCGGAGTACTAAGTGGAGCTTATTTTCATCGCTCAGGTGGGCCAAGAATATTACCGAAGCAGCCAAACCCCAGAACACCTCTGATATCTGGCTAGACATCAGCACTCACAATGTGGGTCTCCCGGCCCTGTCCATCAGGAACCCGGACTGCCACGGCTTCCTGAACAAGCTGGGTGCCATCAGGAAGACCTGGAAGAAACGGTTCTGTGTGCTGAAGGATGCCTGCTTGTACTACTACAAGGACATTGATGCTCAGCATGCCCTTGGTGAGTTATCGGTGGCAGAAGTGGGATCAGGGATAGGTCCCCAAAATAATCAAAATAGAGCATATATATTGGAGCACCAGTAGTAGGCTAGTGGTGCCTGCTTGTAAAACTACAAGGACATTGATGCTGAGCATGTCCTTGGTGAGTTATTGGTGGCAGAAGTGGGATCAGGGATAGGTCCCCCAAATAATCAAAGTAGAGCATGTTTGTTGGAGCATTAGTAGTAGGCTAGTGGTGCCTGCTTGTAATACTACAAGGACGTTGATGCTCAGCATGCCCTGGATGAATTATTAGTGGCAGAAGTGGGATCAGGGATAGGTCCCCCAAATAATCAAAGTAGAGCATGTTTGTTGGAGCATTAGTAGTAGGCTAGTGGTGCCTGCTTGTAATACTACAAGGACATTGATGCTCAGCATTCCCTGGATGAATTATTAGTGGCAGAAGTGGGATCAGGGATAGGTCCCCCAAATAAACAAAGTAGAGCATGTTTGTTGGAGCATTAGTAGTAGGCTAGTGGTGCCTGCTTGTAATACTACAAGGACGTTGATGCTCAGCATGCCCTGGATGAATTATTAGTGGCAGAAGTGGGATCAGGGATTAGGTTCCCCAAAATAATCAAACTAGAGCATAATATAAAGGAGGACCAGAAGTGGGCTAGTGGTTGAATAAGGACATAATTTATGCATGCACACTTGCAAACATCTGAAGTCAAACTATGGTCGAAATGTTGTTGTGAATCTTCTTGATCCTGGATCCCTGCTGTGCATGATAATTCATTTGGCTATTGTACACATTGTATGTGGCTAGTGCTGCGTAACCAGGTACACAACTGATGCCAGCAGGCTTGTCCAAAATAGTTGGCTACACTTGTCCAACTACGGTCGACAAGCATCGCTGGAACTTGCTCATGGTAACTGTTCATCATGGAATAAATCACCAACTGTCATTCCAATGTCTTTCAGGTGTGGCCCATTTCCATGGTTACAGTATCCAGGAGACTGAAATCGGCAGCAAAAAGTATGGCTTGGTCTTGAAACATCCGAGCCAGGAGCTCAGGGTCTTCTACTTTCTTGCCGATCATGAGACGGACCGGAAAAGGTGAGACGTGTCTTAAGGCCCCATCTTTCTCTTTTTGAAAAAAATCCGGACGATCGACTGGTTTTTGTTTACTTATCAATCTTGCAAATTTTTGTGTGGCTATGTTGCATTTTGGAATTTACCTTTTCATTTTTTTCAAGGTGGGTGGCCGCTTTTGCTATGTCAATCGGTCGCTGGATTCAGACAAACAACGGCGAGGAATCCGATGAAGAGAGCGCTGAAATGCTGATCTGAAGACCAAATCCTCTTCTGGTAACCGGAGCTCTAATATTGCAAAACTACTCTTTTTTTTACCCAGAAATTGGGTAAACTATGCACGGCTTAGCTAGTTCGCGCCGGAGGCCATGTATACATTCAAAAGTTTTGCGGTATGCGAAACAGATGATGGATAAACATGCAGGGAGCGAGGCCGGAAATATTTGTCAGCGACCCACTCGCAGCTAGCGAGGCCGGTAATATGAGTGTGCTGCCTGAGGGTGATGGCTTCAACCCGCCTGGCTTGAGGTCGAGTGAAAAGTAATTCGTTCCGTTCTTGTCAAAATAATCCCGGCGCGAACTGGTTAAAAACGTATTCTACTCTGTTGCACTGTGTATACCAACAAAACAGGCCACTATGTATTCCGACCAGTTTTATTCATAAATTAAATACAGAATAAAAACTTTCTCCTTTTCCTGTACAACATATTTATTATGGTCACATATGGATACAAAGCTGAGATTCTGTAAAATAACGGGACTCTTTTCATTTTGTCTCAAGACCCAAGGATAGTCATCTAGTTTTGAAATGACTTTCAAGAAAACTAAAGATGTAAAATTCAACAAGGGCCTATATGTAACGACTATAAAACATGTTATAAAAAATATGAAAATAAATAAAAAAAAAAAAATACAACTCAGACACCAAACAATATATTTCTTGTACAGTTTTAATGTTTTATTTAATTCTGTAGCCAGCTTAATATACATGTACATTTAATATTTTATTTATGTTTATATATTGGACATTGTATTCATTGGTTTATATTCATATCTACACATATGTTATTATCGTTATGCTATAAAGCAGAAGCAAAGCCTGCCAAGTTTAATAATACTACAAACAAAAGTCTGTCGTTACTTTACATTTTCATTCTTAGTCCATTACCAGCTGTTCAAGAGAGAAAAATCTCCCTCCTGTTTCCAAAATTTTACCTTAAAGCCACAATTGACTAGTCTGTGGAATATCCTTTTGCACAGCAAGGGTCTATGATATGCGAGCAGATTCAGCGATTAATTATGCAAAGCAAGACTGCGTCTTGACCTCCAGATTCTGACTATTCATTGGGCGCCTACATCGGGTCTTCGGTAACCCGTGGTTGTATTGTAAAAACATGGTAGCCAAATCGACCAATCGACAGCTTAGTCCACATTTGTGATCGACATGATGTCACACTTCTAAAGTCAACTCCGATTGGCTGCAACGCGGGGTTGCTTTGCTCACATGAGACGTTGGTTACTTGTCCAACGGTTCATACTTACCATTGACCGGCTGCTGCTTCTTTGGATTTTTGGCAATGTCAATACCCATTTGGTATTAGATCGAAGACAATTTTGTTATACACTTCTAGCGCTTGAGGTTACAGTTGAAGAACATACACTGGTTGTGCTCTGTACAACAAACTGTTCCCTCATTAAAAGAAAAAAGCAAGTTCTGGTATAATCTGCGATTAATGGTAGCTTGAATCAAGCTACATGTATATGTATGTATATGAAACTTACCATTATGCTATCCATAAGCTTACTTTTGCCGCGATGACCAATCTCTATTGTCTTATGTTGTAGTGGAACTCTCTACACATATGCATTTCCAATACAACACTGAATTATCGGTTACAGTGTATGTTTTCTCCGTATAGTGAAACAAGTACACTGACTTAAAACAAAATAATCCCGTTTTTACGGAATTATGTATTTTTGTAAGATATAAAAATAACCTGCTCTAAATGTATAGTTTTTTAAGTGCATGAAAAATATTTTACTCAAGATTTTTTTATATGAACGTTTTAAAGAAAAAATATTGAAAGTGGTCCACAGTAAAGACCGACCACAATTTCACAAAACTATGCACATTGTATTTATACTGAAAAGTCTATGCAATTTACTCCTGCAATGTTTTAATATGCTTTTCTAAACAGTATAGTAGAACTGTCAACAAAAGATTGCTTTTGTATTCGTATTGATAATAACGATAGTAGCAATTGAGAAGTTATGCTTTTCTAATAACAAGGTAAGTAGCCCCCATGTGGCAAAATCTCTGTTAACATGCTCAAACTGTATTCTTTCCGGCCACTCAATACTGGAATTTGTATCCTTGTGGAGTCATTTCTTTGTTCTTGTGTACTAAAAAAGTTTAAGTTTGAATATCTAGTTTCAAAATGCGCCTATTAAATCAGAATTAATTTCCTGGGCTGAAATATCGGACTTAATATCACTTGCATAAAATACTTCAATTTGAGACAATCAAAACACCTGGGAAATTCCTAGTTTTTGAGTAAAATCCATATATATTTTTTGTGATGATAACCTTGTGGAGACGTATAGAAAATTGCTCTGTGGAGACGTATACAATATTTTGTTCCCTATTGTGCACATGTCTCCAGATGACACCGTGTACCAGATCACACACACACGAGTTGGAACAGATCTATAGAAGATTTCGTGGCCATTATAAACTCGGTGGTATTTTAGCACTGCTGTTTGTATTATGTATTCTACCAATTTAAATATGTATTTATATGAACTATTCTTCCAATCTATGTAATAAAGTATTCAATATAACAGTCATTAGATGGAATTTGCGTCGGGGTGATGTAAATTCATTATTCAATATAAGGTTATTAAAAATGCTATAGAGTATTAAGACGCATTCGTAATGAAGTGAACATTTCATGGTGTTTTGTGATTGAAATCGCCATCACATTATTTTCACGGGATGAAGCTATGGGCTATCGCCGTTTGCGAGTTAGACACGCCCCTTAGACAACCTTAAGTTTTGTTTGTTTCAGATTTTGCGCGTTCCGCGTCCAGTTATATCATGTAATTGACTAATTGGACAATATTTCACAAACTGCGTTGACGCGATTCTGCCGCGATGGGTTAACTGACCTATCGCCGTTTCCGAGTTGGCCACGCCCCTTAGACAACCCTATGGAATTGTGTACGTCAAGTTTTGTTTGTGTCAGATTTTGCGCGTTCCGCCTCCATTTGTATATCATGTAATGGGACAATATTTCACAAGCTGCGTTGACGCGATCCTACCACGATAGGTTATTTGTTGGTATGTTCCTTGATGGACAATAGGAAGGACAACCGTGTGCGGCACATGAAGTTGGATGTTATACTTTATCAATGGCAGCTGCAGTACAGTACAATCGGGCCGTTCGCAATAAAGGCCCCGTTTTTAATTAGTGAAGGGCGCGTTGTCGCTCCGCATTGTTCTGCAGCGAATACCTGTTTCTCTTGGTATTGCCAAAGCTTTTGTTCGAGAAACCTGTTGTATATTGTATAGCGTGGTGGGCTAATTATCAGTCCAGAAGTGCAAAGCTTGTGCTTACGGTAGAACGATCCCGGAAAAGCGGTGCTACGTTATGAATGTCAAAATAACTGATCATTAAACAGTACCGAAGTATTAGACAATCGCAGTAGTTTGCTGGATGTTAATGACGGATCTCTGGAAAAATGGACGCAAGCTTTCCACACGGTCACCAGGAGACATTGGGCACAAGGAATGCCGTAAGTGAAATTTGTAATGAACTTTGATTTGATTTCATTGCTTTAATCTCTACTCGCAAGTTCCATAAAGGAAGAGTTTATCAAGCTTTCAATTGAATATGGCTTTTTCGCGAATATGCTAGCGTCATGACTTGTGCTTGCTCGTAGTTTTCCCGCAGTGTGTCGTTTGTTAACATAAGCCTAAATCATTGTCGATTAAAACCCATCTTTTGTTTGATCAGTCACAGACAGTCTAAAATTCAATCCTGTCACATTATATTCACCAACAGTCGGGTAATATTTTATGTAGACACTGTGACAGTCAAATTCAATCAACGGGCAAAAACAGGTGACTGGTACTATAGCTAGTGGTATACGGTCCAGCTGGCTTATCAATCTTTTACAGTCAAAGCATTTGCTGTATATCAGGTTTCGTAACAATCACATCCAGTCAATCCTGCTTTATGGAGGCAGGGAGCGCGCAACTGTAAAGCAGTCACTTGGTATAGTTTGACTGCTGGGCCGGCATCGTTGAAATTGCCAGCCAAAGAGGGAGGCTAAGAACATCTTCGACCAGCTAGGCTAAATTTGACCCTTCAGTTTCAAATAAAAGAAGGAAATTTCCATGGGAAACTTCCAAGGGAACCAACTGAAATAGGTAATGGCTCATTCAGTTGTTTTCAGGAGAAAAACTCTAAGTTATTTTGAGGAATTAACAGATTTTAATACCGATGTATAATTTGTTAATAGGCCTAGGTCATAAAGGAAAACTAACCTTCAAGACCAAACAGTTTTCATTAATGTTTGGTCATGATAAGCCATGGAAGTGTGTTTACAACTTTCGTTGTGATGTGTCTTTATAAAACAGTACTCTTACCAAACATTTCCAGTGTGTGACCAGCGAAAGTACGGATTCCGAAAGTGACCAGCGCCAAAGCCAGAAAGAAACACGGCTCGAGGTCCCAGCGGGGTTGACGGATAGCGCGCCACCAAGAGACGATAGTCAGACACGAGAGACGAAGTCTTCAAGGAGGGGAGTGATATACCTTGCTGTAGTGGTTTTGGTTCTTGGTGCTGTTCTGTTGATAGCTGGGCTGGCTGTTTTTCTGGTGTTCAACTTCACAGGTACGGTAGGCGGCCTATATAGACACGCATAGCCGATCATATTAAATGTGCTCTTTTCTGTTGTCGGGACGTGTTTGTTTTCAAACTGCCTCCGTACTGTGAACTTTTGTTGGCCAAGTGATGTCCGAAATGGAAAAAAAACAAAACTTGGTGACAATAATCTTTGAGCAGTGGGGACTTCAGATGTCTTGAGACATTTGGGTCAAAAGTCATCTAGAGGTCAAATGAGGTCATTGTTGATTTGGTTAGTAACTGTTAAATGAAGTGCTGTCATATAAAATGTCAGACTCCAATCTCAACCAAACTTGGTCCATTCCATTTTGGTTATGTACACCGACAAGTGTGCTCACTGACTGACTGTATAAATACTGCTCGCATGCCAGGGGGTCGCACAAGTTTAAATTGCAGTATTTTTTATACTGTCATCCTTTAGCATCCGATCGAGCCCAGGCCAACCGAGTTACCACAGACTTCAACATTACAGACCTAACTACCGTTTTACCAAATGCAACCTTGTATCAGCCAAACAGCAGCTCCGCTACAAGCTTCGGTCTACAAACACCACCAGCGCTGCCGTCAGCTGATCCTTCAGCTGATGCAACAACATCTCACCAAGTTTCACCATCAGCACAGCCAACTGATGTGTCCACTCACCAAGTTTCACCATCAGCACAGTCAACTGATCTGGCCACTCACCAAGTTTCACCATCAGCACAGCCAACCGATTTGTCCACTCACCAAGTTTCACCATCAGCACAGCCAAGTGATTTGTCCACTCACCAAGTTTCAACATCAGCACAGCCAACTGATTTGTCCACTCACCAACATTCACCATCAGCACAGCCAACTGATTTGTCCACCAACTCAATGAGCGAATTTACCACATATCTACGCACTACTACATCAAATCTACATCCAGTTGGTTCAACCATTGGAGCATCAACAAATCCACTTAATCATCCACAAATTACACACGATCCACCAGAGGCAACAACTGCAATATCCACTACATCTCTGATACAAACAGGTAAAATCTTAAAAAAAAAAAATAAATCAAAGAATCATTAACCATTTCAAATCAATGCATTTTTTCGAACTTATCATTTTCTTTATATTTCAGAGACTTGCACTCATACCGAGTTTTCCTGCCTGTTGGATGGTCTGTGTATCCCAACCATTAATGTGTGTGATGACGTCCAAAATTGTAATGATGAATCTGATGAAAATAACTGTTACAATGGCCCAGGTAATCGTTTACTCTCTTTAAATAAGACGATATCCTTTATTGTTATGTGGAATCAATGGTATTTTGGTAATGACATAATTTCCGTAATTGCATAACAATACGTTATGTAAAAACCCGTAGTAGGCCGATTCGTTGAAAATTTGCTCATTAATGTCAGTGACCTTATAAGACGTCTTGAAGATTACTATAGCATGTCTTACTCCTTCCTCCTGTAAAAAAAGCAGGAGACGATGAAATACTGCGCTCTAAATACGCCAAGCGCTCTTGTTTTACTATACTCCCAAGGACAATGCTTTGTGTTTTCTTTTGTCCCTGTAATATACAATGTAACGCTATCCCATAGACTAAGCACACAAACATACTATAGAGGACCGTTTTGAACAAGACCCAACTCCCGAGGACTAAAAGGATCTGTTCTTCCCCTTTCTGTGTCGGTCCTCGGGGTTATTAGCAGTGGCCCTAACTTTCTTTCTTTCAAAGCAATTAAATTAGTCTCTTTGAAAGAAGACTAATCAAACCTATAGTTGAGTACTGAAACCATGTGATTTTCCACCTCTTTGTTCATTTGTACAAGTCTGTCAAGGTAGGCACTTCACGTTCAGCTTAGACTTGGACGAAGTCGTCACAATTACGTCTCCCCGGTTCCCTGCCAGCTACACCCTCTACGAGGAATGCCACTGGTTTCTCACCAGACCGCCGGGTACCAGCTTCATCATCGACATCATTCATTTCGATGTACCAATTCCAGATGCTGTGGCAATTTACGAGATTGAGAGTGGCTTCAGACGACTGGTGATCACGATGCATGAGAGTTTGGGTCAGGGGTTGAAAATGGCATTCGAGAGTCAAGATCTTGAGGTTTTGTTCGTGAGCAGTTATAACACCCACGGCACTGGTTTCAACTTTAGTGTGCGTGCTGTTCATAATGACGGTAAGTTAATGGAACAGTCAGCAAAACGGGGCTGCAGTTTTAATCAACCACAATTCATCACCAGTCAGTTGGAACTTCAATCACATGCCAGTCACAAGTCTATCACATGCCAGTAACAAGTCCATCACATGCTAGTCTCAAGTCCATCACATGCCAGTCACAAGTCCATCACAATGCCAGTCACAAGTCAATCACATGCCAGTCATAAGTCCATTACATGCCAGTCACAAGTCCATCACATGCTAGTCTCAAGTCCATCACATGCCAGTCACAAGTCTGTCAAATGCCAGTCACAAGTCTCCAGTCACAAGTCCATCACATGCCAGTCACAAGTCAATCACATGCCAGTCACAAGCCAATCTCATGCCAGTCACAGGTCAATCACATGCCAGTCACAAGTCAATCACATGCCAATCACAAGTCCGTCACATGCCAGTCACAAGTCAATCACATGCCAGTCACGGGTCCATCACATGCCAGTCACAAGTCCAACACATGCCAGTCACAAGTCCATCACATTCCAGTCACAAGTCCATCACATGCCAGTCAAAAGTCAATCACATGCCAGTCACGGGTCAATCACATGCCAGCAACAAGTCCGTCACTTGTCAGTCACAAGTCCATCACATGCCAGTCGCAAGTCCATCACAATGCAAGTCACAAGTCCGTCACATGCCAGTCACAAGTCAAACACATGCCAGTAACAAGTCCATCACAATATGCCAGTCACAAGTCCGTCACATGCTACAAACCAACGTGTCTTTATTTGAAATCTTCAGAAGTTCGAATCTTTTTATTGTCAAAAATCTGGACTTTTTCGGGAGTTACTAATTTTACATTGTTTACTTCTTTTGCGTAGAATATATCATATGTGACGTTCCTCCATATGTGTATGGAGTTGAAGATGTTTGTAATGATTTTTCTGATTGTCCCGATGACACGGACGAGAAGGAGTGTGGTGAGTTCACTGTACTTTAAACATTAAATAAATGTATTGACTTTATTGTCGCTAGTTTTAAAAGTCTTTAACATTTTCTTCCGAATGCAAGAACGCTTTTCATTTTATGAACTGATTGTTCTGTAATTGGAGAACAGGGTAAGTCACAAAAGCGGAACCCAAACCCCCCTCCCCAAATATATTTCTTATTTAAATAAATATGTAGCAGCAAAAATCATAATAACTGGAAAGCCAATTTCTTAAACTACTTGTAGATGAAAAAATTATTGAAATTGCTCAATCCGTTCAAAGAATATCACCATTTGCAATGACCCTTAAACCTCTTTCGTCCAAAAATGCGATTTCAAGAATCGTCGTCACAATGTCTTCAAACATCACCAGCCATAAAACATCAGTTTGAAAGTTAAAAGATTCAACAAATCCTTTTGAAGTCCTGTCTTTTAAAAAAATGTTGATTTTATAAATCATATTGTTTGCCTAAGCAGGGTTATTAATAAAGATATTGTGTATTACACTTGTTGATAATTATTGAAACAAGTATTCTGTGTCATTTTCTTTGTTGGTCCAAACAGTCAGAACACACAATAAATTGCTTTTTTTTTGGACGAAACTGGTTTTAGGGTCATTGTATTTAAATGGTGATGTTATTTGAACGAATTCAGCAATTCTAGTTAATTTATTCATCTAAAAGTAGTTTATAAAATTGGCTTTCCAGTCATCATTATCTTTGGTGCTTTACATATTCGTTTAAATATGAAATATATATTTTGGGGTTTGGGTTCCGCCTTTTTTTGACTCACCCTGTACGTATATTCCAGAATGTGACGAGAATGAATTTCGCTGCAATAGTGGGGTTTGTGTCAATGGTGGAATCGATGTACCATGCAGCGGATCTGCCCAATGTAGAGACTTCTCGGATGAAGGTCTTGAATGCCACGAAAGTAAGTGAAAGTAGTTTTCTTTTTGAACTGATATACTGAATCTTATTCCGTCTGGCCGTCCTTTTATTTCAATTTGCATCTGTTCAAAGGTTGCGGAAACATTATAGCTTTGGAGTGTTCGTTAATTGCTACAGGTTATGTAGCCTAGTATTGCATTTTAGGCCGATATTAATGTGTATCCTTTAGTTATGACAATTTGTTCTAGATTTTTAACTTGTGATTTTCATAAATGTCTATTGTGTGAGCAGTCATATCCAAGCAATTCAACCTGAACATAATTAGCTTTACGATATGATGTATTTTATTCCGTACAAAACTGGCTGTGCCAACTCGTTTAGATTTTTTCTCTTTTCACATCGTAGTCTATTGCGTTGACATCCACCATTCGGCCTGCGCGGTTATTTTGCCGTACAACCGGACCTTCTATCCAAATGACCGTGCCGACTCCTTGGAAGATGCTTACACTAAACTCTCCGCCTTGGAGAAACAGTTATCATCAAACTGCGCTGCTTCAATTAGACTGGCAGCCTGCATACTACTGTTTCCAGAATGTCCCCGCTTCAAGCCAACGCAGACCGTGTGCAGACGCTTCTGTGATACGAATCTTTCCACCTGTTTAGCTTCAGTTGTGAATGCTGATTGGTTGTCATGTGATATGTTACCTGATGTGGAGATGCGTGCTGGTAGTACTTGCATGTACGATGAAGACGGTGATTAAATGTCTTCTGATAGACATTTAAGAAAGTCAAAGGTTTATTTTCCAGGGATAAGAACTTCTGATTATTTTGCAATCCTTACTGCTGAAGTAACATGATTGATAATTAGCTTTACGCCATTGCAAATCATTACATTATGTAAAGTCAGTGCATTCAGTTCTTGGGCAAAATAAGCAAAATTATAATTTTTCCAACAATCGACGTACTTGATCACAATAAAGCCATGATGGAACAAGCCATTGTATGATTTTTTAAATATCTTGTCCCGTGTTTTGTCAACTGTCATTGAATTGTTTTTATTTGTATGCTTGCCAATTTATTTTAGGATTAAAGTTGGATTGCCAAATGCCAATAGGCCTTCTTATTGCAAAAATCGAATCACGCAAAAATTTAATTGACGAAAATTAAATACACACTTAACTGTATAAGGTTTTAACATTATTTTCCTTGGTAGACTTGTTGCATACTGGAATCTGTGGAACCAGACAGACCAATCCCCTCTCGCGAATCGTTGGGGGCGTGGCCAGTGACATAACAACCTGGCCGTGGATTGGCTCGCTTCGTGATGAATATTCAGAGCACAGATGTGGGGCGACTTTGATAACCAATCAATGGGCCGCTACAGCTGCGCATTGTGTGTAAGTTCAAGGAGTGGTCATTTTTCTGTAGGCAAAGGTGTGTTATAATATAATTATATTTCATTAGATGAACTTGACATTTTTTTTTAAATTTGTTTGGATGCAAATATGACTACGTTTCAATTGATCGATGGAAATGCGTTCGGTTACCTCATGAAAATCCTTTACATTTAACCCAGTCATGAATCTAGTGGAGTTATCGAAATTTATTTCTTATTTATGAAACAGAGGTTTCTTCGATCGTATCGTGCTGGGTTCAACAGATCTGCACGGGACTCCAGCAACTCGCCGAGAAATCATAATAGACAAGGTTATCGCTCACCCCTTCTACGATGCAGTAAACCTGGACAACGACATAGCGCTTATCAAGTTGCGAGCTCGTGTCGAATTCAGTGATGACATACGACCAGCCTGTCTCAACACTGTGCAAAATGAAACCTATCTCTTTGATAACTGCTACGTTGCTGGGTGGGGCCACACCAGCGCAGGAGGTAAAGGTCTATTCAGTGGTTTGGTCAAATTAATGAAAAATATAAGTCGCTTTCCTCCCCTTATAATTCCCTGTAATTTTGATGTTTTGGAGGTTGGCGTAGCAAGACTTTCCCCGCCTTCCACCACTCTGACCGGGGTTCGATTCCTGCCTGGGCCAAAATGTGGATTGGGTTTTCAGTCCCTGCCTGATTCCTTGGGTTTTCCTCAAAATATTCTTCTGGGGTTTTCCTCCCACCTCTAAAATTGTAATTTCTACTCATTGTTTTCTCTCTACGAGCTACAGTGCCTTTTGACGAATCCTTGGTTTCTTAACCAGATAAATGATAAATAATAAAAATAATAATTCTGCACAATATTAGCACAAAACACACCCTTTTCCCAGAGAAGAGAAACTTATTTTAGTAACAAAATTATCACTAGGTTCTATATGAGAGAAACATTTGTATTTGCAACTGCTACATATTTTTATCTTCTTTTAAGGTGCTGTTTCGTTTGATTTGCAAGAGGCCATATTACCTTTAGTTCCCCGCGATATCTGCCAGTACCAGTCTAACAGTCCTCATCTTGTCTCGTCGAATCAGTTGTGCGCAGGATTCAGCGAAGGAGGCGTTGACACTTGTCAGGTAGGGCATTCACAATAATTTTGTTTGGATTCAAATGCTTTCTTTTGATACAATTTCTCATTTGCATACGAATTTGTAATGATGCCTCTTCTTTATAGTGAAATCGTCAATAAGACAATGTCAGAAGTATACAGGGTGAGTAAAAAAAAACGAACCCAAATGGCAAGACCAATGTTGGAACGAAGTTTTGCCGGTAGCACTTTCAAAATCTAGGATATGAAAGCCGAGACATTAAGCTTTGTTGAAGTATAAGAATCATTCAAATCACTCATGTACTTTTGAAGTTACGGAATTTTGAACACAAACACCGTTTTAAAGTTCTATCCACGGATCACAAAAAAATACGTTTTTTTTTCTTTCAGCAAAACGAAAACAATTCTCATAGAGATGCAACACAGCAAGAGCTTAATGTGCATTCGCACTTGTTTTTAGCCGTGGCGGCTATCTGACCTAATATTTGTCAGAAATATTTGTTTTGGTCCGGGAACTAGATTAACGGTCTGGTGGGCGCAATGCGCATGCTCAGGATGACGTGTCATAACACTCTGCTGCCACCAAGAGTCTTAACTGGGTATATTTGATTAATTTGGTCAAGGGTGACAGTGGGGGACCTTTGGTATGCCTGGGCGCCGATGATCGATGGAAACTGGTTGGTGTTACGAGCAGCGGGAATGCAGCGTGCGGCGCCCCGCAGTCTCCCGGCATCTACACCAGGGTGTCACGCTACTTGGACTTCATCCGGCAAACCATCGCAGCGGGTGAGTTCAAAATTCTTCTCACAAAATGAAACATTTTAGCTAATTCTGCAGCAGTGAGTAAATCTTTAACGACGGATCATTTTGACTTAAAAAAGAAAAGGCACTGATCTATTTTTTTTAAGGAGGAGGCTTTCCAAAGTTCAAGTTTGGGGATTAACCAATGACGTTTGAGGAAATTTTACGTGAAAGATGATCACCCCTTAATGAAGTCGTGAGGTCCGTCGCCATTTTGAAATATGATCTCTTCACTCCACCTTTAGATTTTAGAGCCTCAATTCATCCAAATTTCACAGAAATGCTAGCTCAGACGCCTGTGCTGAACACTGTGTCTTAAGCTGTACAAATCCTCAAGTAAAATAGGCAAGAAAAACCTCTAATAAAAGAATAACATGTAGAACACGGAAATCGTTATTTGGCCAGGGCATGCAGAAAATGTGGGGCCTATTTCAGTGCCAATCTCAATTTATATCTGGGACGAGTTCTCGATCAGTTGTATTCAGAAATTGTGTAACTTATAGGTCCACCCGATACAATGTCCGCAACTTGTCCGGAACTCGTATCGGATATGAAGTGAGATGGGCCCTTCCTGTCGTGTATTAACTGCATTGGTGTCTACTCCTTGGTGGTATATTTTCAGATCGCACGGATGACTGCACAGCAGGTCAGTTTCAGTGCGAAGGTCAAATCGTCTGTGTGCCGGACTCAGTCGTGTGTGACGACAATTGGGACTGTGCCGACGGGTCAGATGAGCTTTACTGTAGCTGAAATGCAGTCGACTTCCGTCAGTACGATATCTGCTAGAACGAAATCCGGTTATAACAAAGAATTATCTCCGGTGGACGACGGCAAAACTGCACACTTTTAATTGGGGACAAATTCGCTTAAGACGAACTCTGGTAGTACAAATGTTCTGTTATAACGAACATATTTGTAGTTTGAAGGACTTTTATGAATGGAAGAGAGACTATACAGAATAATAGCATTGTGAAAATAAAAGTAATTAAAGTCTATTCAAGTCATTTCCTTGAGGACAAAGGGCTCCAAGGTAAAATGTTGTCAGCTGTGATCATTTTCTCGAAACGTTTAATGTCCTCCGGTGCAACATAATTATGTGCAGGGTTTTCAATTCAAAAACCCCAAAACTGAAGAAAAAATTTGCAAGGGTTACACTACATTTGTAATCAAAGTGTGGCCAAAAATGGGCTTTTCTCTTAACGCTTTTGTCTTATTTTTGCGGTTTTCAAAACTGGGCAAAATTTGACTTTTTGGGAAAATTCTTAAATGTCAAATGTAAATTTGACTTTTTGGGGAAGATCCACAAAATAAGGGTAAGCCTTGCATTTTTATCAAAAATGGGCAAAATATAACTTTTTTGGGAAATCCAAACTGTAAGAGGTTTGCCTTGCATTGTAACCAGAATTTGGCAAAATGTACCTTTTTTTGAAAATCTAAAATATAAAGGGATTAGCCTTGCATTTCTATCAAGATTGGGCAAAATTTCACTTTTTCGAGCAATTCCAAAATGTAAGGGGTTAACCTTGCATTTCTATCAAAAATGGGAAAAATTTGACTTTTTTTGAACATCCAAAAAATGTAAGGGGTTAGCCTTGCATTTCCATCAAAAATGGTAAAAAAATGACTTTTTTTTGAAAATCCAAAAATGTAAGGGGTTAGCCTTATATTTCCTTAAAAAATGAGCAAAATTTTACTTTTTTGGGAAAATTCAAAATACAAGGGGTTAGCCTTGTATTTCTATCAAAAATGGGCAAAATTTTCCTTTTTTTGGAAAATTCAAAATACAAGGTGGTTAGCCTTGCATTTCTATCAAAAATGGGAAAAATTTGACGTTTCAAGAAATTTCAAAATGTAAGGGGTTAGCCTTGCATTTCTATCAAGATTGAGCAAAATTTCACTTTTTTGGGAAAAACCAAAATATAAGGGGTTAGCCTTACATTTTTCTTCAGATTCCGCAAAATTTCACTTTTTCGAGCAATTACAAAAATTTTTTTTTGGGAAAATTCAAAATACAAGGGGTAAGCCTTGTATTTTTATCAAAAATGGGCAAAATTTTGATTTTTTGAAAAAATTCAAAATACAAGGGGTTAGCCTTGGATTTCTATCAAAAATGGGCAAAATTTGACTATTTCGAGAAATTTCAAAATGTAAGGGGTTAGCCTTGCATTTTTATCAAAAATGGGCAAAATTTGACTGTTTCGAGAAATTTCAAAATGTAAGGGGTTAGCCTTAGCCTTGACCAAGGCTATCAGTTGTTCCCATATGAGCTTGTTCCCGCTACCGCACACGGCGCGCGCAGCAACACAATGTTGTACCAGTGTTGGAGCAAAGGCTTTGACCCTCAAGGCCAAGGCCAAGGCCAAGGCTTTGACCCTCAAGGCCAAGGCCAAGGCCAAGGCTTTGACCCTCAAGCCTCGAGGCCAAGGCCAAGGCTTAACCCTCAAGGCCAAGGCCAAGGCCAAGGCCCTGTTTTATGAAATGACCACTAATATAGGACTAATTATAGTCACATGAGTGACACATCATCACGCAAGGGCGGATCCAGAACACAATTTGCGGGGGGGGGGGGCAAAGAAATTTTGGTCCCCCCCAAAAAAGTGGGTCAAAAATTACGGCTTGGGCTTCGGGGCCCGCTTAAGGGCCCCGAAAAAAATTTGGATTCGAGATGCTCTGTGGTGCGATTTGAGGCAATTTCTGACCATTTTAACTGATGTTTTTTGAGGAAAAGATGGTGGTGTACTCATTGCCTGCCTTTATTACGACGTCACATACAAAAAAAAATGGTTTCGTTTTTTTTTTTGGGGGGGGGGGGGGCATGGCCCCTTTTGGCCCCCCTGGATCCGCCCTTATCATCACGAATTGCTCGTTACGAAGAACAACATTTCTTTAATTGCAATCAACATGCTTGCATAGGCCTACACCGTTTTATGACTGCATTGTATCTATTAAAGTATAAGTTCAGGTCTTCAATATGGTTTAACTAAACAAAATAATGATTTACTTCTATATTGACACACAATTCTCCCAAGTGTAACAAAAGGGGGATTCAAGAAACTGATTTGGGAAATTTTTATTTGCTGGCCCAACATGGTCAGAAATATCAGCATTATCTAAAACAGATACATGCAAATCTTTAGCACTTATCAGGGAGACATATACAACCAATCAGATCCATTCCATAGTTATATGCAATTAAAGTGATCATCTCATTAGCTCCACAAGTGTACGGAATATTTTTGCAGCAAATCTACTACAATGGTAACAAAATGTGATGCTACAAAAGTGGAAGTGTGCCCAACACACAAATCTATAGGGTGCTTCCCTCCTCCATGGTAATACGATTAAAATGGTAACAGCAAAATTTCGAACAGATTTATCTGGAAAATGCAAAAATCTATGGGCCTTGAAGAGCCTTGACTCAAAATTGCAAGGCCCTGAACCCTCAAGGCCAAGGCCAAGGCCAAGGCTTTTGCCCTCAAGCCTCGAGGCCAAGGCCAAGGCCCTAAAATCCAGCCTTAAGGCAGCCTTAAGGCCAAGGCCCAGCATCAAGGCACTACATCACTGTGTTGTACTATACCGTTAGCCCCAACGACCCTTGCGTGTGCTTTGGGTGCATGTACGTACGCCCCACACTCACTTCCGCAAACAGCCGTACAGTAAGTCGAGGCAGAAGATAGCCTTGACGCAACCGTGTATGCTGAATATGATAATTAGTTCGCGCTATGGTAAATAGTCTTCTCTCATTGGATAACGGCTGACAAAAATATGAATATTTATTAAGTTGCATAATACGACCAAAGGTTTATAAACCAGACGGCCTGTGGTAACAATAATTATTGTAAAACACCCCCTTAAAATCTCAAATAATAGTAGAATAATATTTATAAAGTTACACATAGTTTGGGTCGAAAATGAAATGAAAAGGATGAACAATTAGACCTTCAAAAAACGGCAAACGGTACAAAACCGCACGCCGGCAAAAACGATGTCACCATGCACAGAGGCCACGTTGGGGCCGTCCACTGTAGGCACCGGCCCGGCTGGCGCTATGCAGTGAGACACGCTGCGCTTTCACGTTCAGCGGCCAAAAAAGCGCTCACACTATTGAGTATGTATCTACTGCTGACTTTTGGGGGGGGGGGGGGGGGGGGGGGGGGGGGTATCTCTCCTTCAGCAAACTTATTCTGTAAGACTGATTTTAACTTGTATGAACAACTTATAAGTTATATGTCGTATGTACGACTAATATATCGACAGGGTACGACATATTTCGACAGGGTACGACAGATATCATCGACAGGTTACGACATATATGTCGACAGGGTATGACATATCAAACATATGACATAATGTCGACAGGTGCCGGTACGACATATATGTCGTGCATAAGTCGAGTCGACAGGGTACGATATATTTCGCATACGACAAAGTCGTATATATAAGTACGACTTAATATCTCGTGTGTACAAAATATGAATTGTAACTCGTATGTTCGACTTGTTTGTCGATTATGTCGTACATACAACATATCTTGTGAGAACGACTTGTATCTCGTACGATTTACATCTACGACTTACATGTCGTACATATGTCGTAGGTACGACATACGATTCATACGTATGCGTTAAAATACATGTGTCATACGTATGAGATGTACATGTATGTTGCACATGGTACGAATTCAGGGAGAGTTTTTTTTTTCACCATGTACCTGACAGTTTCGTATATTTCCATCCCAAAGTCAATAGCTCGTTTCTTGCACTTAATTCATACGGGTGCTTATAGATACGAGTTAACCTGCATTCGATTAAATGGGTACAATTTGACCTGGGTCCGAGTTGACCTATTCCCTACATTCGCTGTCCGGCAGAATAGCACGGGCAGGTAGCGGCGTGATAATGTACGCTGTTGCACCGACAAAATGTCGGCGGACGGTCTTGAACTGCATGTCCAATTCGCAATACATTGGAAATATATCATTTTGAACAATTGTTCACTCATATAGCGGCATATTTTATTTGTTTGTAATAAAACTGGAGAAATGGTTTAAAATGGGACCATGGTTTGAGTGAACATACATGTACGTGGTGTATACAGTAATTTGCGGGTCATGAATATGTATATCGCGGGTCAAAGTTTACGGGCTTTGATTGGATATCGTGTAATATATGCGCATCAGAAATTTTCGGCCGATTTCGGTCGAAACTATAAAGAAACACATAAGAATTCGCCACGGTTGCGTCAAGGCTATCTTCCGCCTCGACTTGCTGTACGTACGGCTGTTTGCGGAAGTGTGTGTGGGGCGTACGTATATGCACATAAAGCACACGCAAGGGTCGTTGAGGCTAACGGTATAGTACAACTAGTGATTGTGTCGCGGTGTGCGGTAGCGGGAACAAGTTCGTATGGGAACAACTGATAGCCTTGGTCAAGGCTAGGTTAGCCTTGGATTTCTATCAAAAAGGGGCCAAATTTGATTGTTTCGAGAAATTTCAAAATGTAAGGGGTTAGCCTTGAATTTTTATCAAAAATGGGCAAAATATGACTTTTTTTGGAAAATCCAAAATGTAAGGGGTTAGCCTTGCATTTCTATCAAAAATGGGCAAAATTGAACTTTTTTTGAAAATCCAAAATATAAGGGGTTAGCCTTGCATTTCCTTCACAAATGGGCAAAATATGACTTTTTTTGGAAAATCCAAAATGTAAGGGGTTAGTCTTGTATTTTTATCAAAAATGGGCTGAATTCTTCTTTTTTGGGGAAAATTCAAAATGTAAGGGGTAAGCCTTGTATTTCTATCAAAAATGGGCAAAATTTGACGTTTTGAGAAATTTCAAAATGTAAGGGGTTAGCCTTGGATTTTTATCAAAAATTGGCAAAATATGACTTTTTCGAGAAATTTCAAAATGTAAGGGGTTAGCCTTGCATTTCTATGAAAAATTGGCAAAATATGACTTTTTGTGGAAAATGCAAAATGTAAAGGGTAAGCCTTGTATTTTAATCAAAAATGGGCAAAGTTCTACTTTTTTTGGAAAATTCAAAATACAAGGGGTTAGCCTTGCATTTCTATCAA